AAAAAAAAAAAAAAAGAATTTGGAGAGGGCTCAGTGGCTCAGCCTGTCATCCCAGCACTTTGTGAGGCTGAGGCGAGTGGATTGCCTGAGCCCATGGGTTCGAGACCAGCCCCGGTAACTTGGTGAGACTTTGTCTCTACAATAAATAAAATAAAAATATGAGCCAGGCGTGGTAACACACGCCTATGATTCCAGCTACTTGGAAGGCTGAGGTGGAAGGATCTCAGGAGCTCAGCAGGTCGAGGCTGTGATGGCCTGAGTGTGCCACTGCACTCCAGCCTGGGCAAGGAGTGAGACTCCGACTCAAAAAAAAAAAAAATTTTTTTTATTATGTGTCAGTATAAAGCAATTTGAAAATATTCACTTGAATGACTTTTTTCCTGGGAACTGAACATAATCCACATCTTGTTCTACAAAAACCTACTTGACGTAACAGACAACATTAAGGATTTATGTTTCCATACACTATAACATATCAAGCAGCCAGGCTTGGTGGCTCAGCCTGTAATCCCGCGCCTTTGGGAGGCTGAGGTGAGTGGATTGCCTGAGCCCGCAGGTTCGAGACCCTCCTGGGCAGCGAGACCTCATCTCTACAATAAATCAAAAAAATCAGCCGGGCGTGGTAGTGCGCGCCTGTAATTCCGGCTACTCGGAAGGCTGAGGCGGAAGGATCACCGGTGCCCAGCAGGTCGAGGCTGCGGTGGCCAGGAGCGGCCACTGCACTCCAGTCTGGCCGACAGAGTGAGACTCTGACTCAAAAAAAAAAAAAATTAAGCAAATGCATTTCACGTAAGTTTTGCAGTCCATACCATCACATCCAAATATTTTTGCCAAGTCAAATTCTAAAATTAGTGAACACAAGCAGTGTACCTTTAAGAGGAGCATGTCTTCTGCTGATTTGCAATAATCAATTGTTTATTGAGAAGTTACCATGTGTCAGGTACTATATTTTAATAAAGTGTTAAACTTCAAACTACACATTGAACACTGATTATAGGGAGGAAGTCCCACAAGAGGTGAAAACACAAGATACGTTAATTGAAAACCATTTACCTCATTCAAGACATAATTTACAGTTTATAAAACTATAATTTCAGCCGAGTTCAGTAGCTGCAAATCCAGCACTCTGGAAAGTGGAGGCGAGGACTGCCTGAGCCACACGGGTTCGAGACCAGCCTGGTCAACATAGCAAGACCTCGTCTCTACAATAAATCAAAAAATTAGCCAGGAGTTTTGGAGAAAGCCTGTAGTTCCAGCTACTTGAAGGCTGAAGCAGAAGGCTCGCCTGAGCCCAGCAGGTCGAGGCTGCAGTGGCTGTGAGTGTGCCACTGCACTCTAGCCTGGGCGACATAGAGTGAGACTCTGACTCAAAAACAAAACAAGGTCGGGCGCGGTGCCTCACGCCTATAATCCCAGCACTTGGGGAGGCTGGACTGCCTGAGCCCACATGTTCGAGACCAGCTTGGGCAACTTGGCAAGATCTCATCGCTACAATAAAAACCAAAAAAGTAGCTGGGTGTGGTGGCATGTACTTGTAGTTGCAGCTACTTGGAAGGCTGAGGTGGAAGGATCATCTTAGCCCAGCAAGTCGAGGCTGCGGTGGCCATGAGCATGCCACTGCACTCCAGCCTGGGCGACATTATGAGACTCCGACTCAAGCAAAACAAAACAAAAAACTATAACTTCAGCAGAATTTCCACTTCAATTTCAAGCTATCGAGCTCTCATGCCAAGGGTAACTGAACATGCATGCATTTACGATGCACATTTTCACTGGACGTTAGCTTCAATAAGTGTCCCCAACCACATGGTCCACGTCCAGCTCCAACAATAAAGTACATTAAATTGTTAAATAGTTAAGCCCATAAGGCACCGGCACAAAACCTAAAACCAAACTCCTTTAGGGAAGCTGAACACTGGGACCAGGATACAGTATTAAGACAACAACTCTAGGAAGCCCACCAAAAGTCAACATTTGACTTCACGCAATGGAAGATGTCGTCGGAAAATAAAGCAGTCTTTATTTTAGAAGACTATCACATAAGATACATTCTCTTGCAAAATAAAGATGCCCGGTATTCTCTCTGACATGTGACGTTTTTCTCAAAATGCCTAAGTGCACTGAGCCTCCCCGAGGCCACCCACCCAAGAGCACCCAGGTCGTCCTTTCCCTGACACAGGTAAAGTTCAAAGCTTCCACCCTGGGGGGTAATTAGGAGGGTTTCCAAGGATAAAAAGTTCTCATGCCTCAGCAGCATGGATCTCTCACGCCTGAACTCAGCTGAAAGAATGTGAAACTCAAGTGTCCTTATCTTACTTTTTAAAATGGCTAATCCCACGAAACTCTTCACGTTGTTTACAGTTTCAAATCTGATTACACTTAGACACAAGAAAGCTGTGATATGTTTTGATGCATGTTATTCGTTTTTAAACTATGCTTTAAAAACTTTCTCATTCCATCAGCTAGAGCTGCCTCAACTCAGGGGACACACACAGCAAAGACTCAACACCAAACAGGAGCCTCAGGGATCCACCCAGCCCAGATCCACCGGAGATGTCCAAGGACTCCCAGAACGACCCTGGAGCGAATGGCTTCCATGTGGACACCTCGGTTAAAGCAAGAGACAGCCATAAACCCATCATTTCTCCACACTCTCAACCATCTCAAAAGACACATGTTAGCCATGAAAGAAATCCTCAAGAAGGACCAAGTGCTTCAGTTACCAACCACGATAGTTTCCGCGCGTTTCAAACTCACAATGACCTTCCTCACAAACCAGGACGAACTTCCACCTGAGATCACCTCTCATCTGACCCACATTTAAAAACAAATGGAACCCAAATGGCAACATTCAAGTCTGCATTTAATCCACACATCACAGTTTAGAAAGTTCAGTGTTACAAGCAGAATACTTCATTTAGCTTTTCAACCTCAATACTGCCAAGTTCTCATCTTTTTTTTTTTTTGAGGTGGAGTGTCAGTCACTCTGTCACCCAGGCTGGAGTGCAGTAGCACGCTCACAGCCACCGTAGCCTTGGCCTGCTGGGTTCAGGTGATCCTCCCACCTCAGCCTTCCAAGTAGCTGGAACCACAGGCACATGGCACCACGTCTGGCTAGTTTTTTGATTTATTGTACAGATGAGGTCCCGTCAAGTTGCCCAGGCTGGTCTCAGGCAACCCTCTCACCTCCTCCTCCCCGAGGGCTGGGACGACAGGCGTGCGCCACTATGCCAGACTGCCACATACTCATCTTAAAATCGGCACATGACCCTGAGTATTATCTTGTCAGAAACTTCACTCCTACCCGTACGTTTAGGACTTTCTGAAATCTCACATCCCATTCCAATGGCAATCCCGAGACCTGAGAATTCGGTGACACGTTAGACTTCACTTTTGAACTACAGGAGTTACAGACCCTCCCTTAAATAAGGAGCTCTAATATAACCTAGTTCCGAGTCCTTCCGCACTTCCTTGATTTAGTCAAGTCATCAAGTCTTCCACCTTGACCCGACAGTTGCAAAATGGCTCCTCAAAAGCTATGGCCAACACGCCCTGTGAAAGCTGGTTTCAAATTGTTTTGAGACGAAAACACACATATAAACGCAGTCTGGATAAACGCAAGATTGAGGGAAAACACTCACAAGGAAGAAAAGACCTTTTTTTTAATCAAAGCCACAAATTGCTTCTCGACTTGCTCTGTCGAAATGGCCTAATACAAAACGTATACACCATGGAGTAAGTTTGAAGATTCAGGGCATGATATAATTCTGAGCTCCTATTAGCTGAGCAGAGATGGAGTAAGAGATGACCACAGCAAAGCGGTTTGCTAAACCAAAACACACCTAAGGGCCTAAAAGGCTCTGCCGCACCCTCGACGGCCAAGCCGAGGCCCACGATGGGGCCAGGACACGTCTTTACTGCACTTCCCAGGTGTGCTTGTCATCTGTAGAAGTCCACGCCAAGTCAGCCCACCCTTGGCGACAGCACGAAGCTGAGCGCCTCGCCCAGCCACACAGGCTGGCACATTTCACCCTACCCGCTCTCGGCGCCATCCAGAAGAGCATCGACCCAGGAACAGGTGCCAGGGCGGACCACGGGAAGAATCCTCGACCCGGTTCAGAGGAATGCTCAAATGTCCAAGCCCGGAGCGGCCACTCACCTGCAGTTGGGTGGAGGGTCTAACGTGATGTCCGCCAGTTCCTTCTGAATCCTGGAGCCGGGGAAGGGGGGAGACAAACACAGGACAGTGAGGCGCGGGG